GGACATAATCTATCAACTTTTAGTATTCAAAAAATCCATAAAATAAATTTGACAACCATAGGCATAATATATTATATTAAAACATCGAAAATTTATCTTAAGCCAATTATCATAAAGTAGATCATGAAAAGGATAAATCTCACATTGAATGAAGATGAAAACCATAGCTTAGACTATTTTCGTTAATCGGTTCAATATGGTATTAGAGCCCAACAAGCTTAAACGAGCAACTTGATCCGTCTAAAGCTCAACAAAGCATTCGGATTCCAAGATCAAACAAGCCACCACCTTGCAGCTTAGGCTACTCTTAATGAGGTTGATCTTTTACGATGGAAGGAATCCCAAAACAAGCAAACAGCGTTTAGACTCAAAAGAGCTGCTGCAATTATGTGAAATTGCAAACCAAAACCCGAAGCTAGAGACCAAAAAATGCAACAGCTTCAACATTCCAATTGTCGGCTTATCTTTTGTATTCGACAATTCCATCAAGATCTCATCAGGGAGAGTCAGTACAAATCAGATTTTAAACATTTTGCAAATTTCTTTTCAATACCCCGATTTGTGGCACCGGGGGAGAAAATTTTAATGACATCTAGCTCCAGTTCAGCCACAAACAATGTGTTTCATCAAACATGTTTCCAACAATCTGTATCATGCATTAACATCTTTTCTTTTTGGCACACCATATATCACGTTCAGCTCATTTTTTGCCTCGAGTAACAAATATATCCAGTTTTCTCCTTCTTAATACATAAAATAATCCCAACATACAATCTGATCCATAATCTCTCGCCTACAATCTCCGATCCAGTAGATTTTTAACCTCCAGCAACAAAATCAACCAGTTTTCTTGTTCTTAATCCATGAACTAACCCCAAAATACCAACTAACCCGTTATTCTCGTTTTTAATCTTCAGATCATAAAATTTTAAACCTTCAACAACAAATTCAACCAGTTTTCTCATTTTTAATCCAGCAACTAATCTCAATATGCCAACTATTCCATAATCTCCTTTTAATCTCATGTTCAATTTTTACACCTCCGGCACTAAATTCAACCAGCTTTCTCCATAAACAAACCCCAATATGCCAACAATAAAAAAAATTAAAGAACCCTAGAAACCCACCAAGATTTTAAGCATAATTACTTTAAAAACGTTTCCTACACAATTTTAAATCCCCAAAATCGATAACACAACAAGGGAATAGAAAAACCCACAAACAAACGAGCACGAAATGTAGTCAATTGAGCATAGGATTCCAAAATTGAAATTATTATTATTATATATTATGATTAAAAATAAAAAGAAGGTGAAGAAATAGAAAAGTATGAACATATTACCGCTTCCGGTTTGCCGATGAGTTTGGCTACAGTGGAAGTGGCTTCAGAGAGGATGGAGGAGGTGTCAATGCCCTCCAGGCTCACGTTAGTCGACAGATTCAGGCACGGCATTTTTTCCAACAAAATATTTCTCTCTCGCACTGAGGCCACACACACTGGTATGTTCTCTATTTTGTTATCCAAAGAGGAAAAAAGTAAAAAATATTCGAAACACTATTCTGATTCAATTCTGTGCTCCATTAGTGCTATTTATGTTCATTTCCAACCATGAAAAAAAAAANAAAAATATTCGAAACACTATTCTGATTCAATTCTGTGCTCCATTAGTGCTATTTATGTTCATTTCCAACCATGAAAAAAAAAAACCTAATTTAGTTCATGGGCCAATCCAGCCCAATAATGACTATTATGAAATATTAAAATGACTTTTATTCCTTCATGAATACTCTTGATACATGCTATCATAAATTAAGATAGCAAATTGATTCGATTTTTTCATCAACTTCGGCCAATCACGTGATAGGTCAACTGACCAATAACTTGAAAGTCACGTTTGACTCTAGATTAAATCCAACTCGTCGCGGAGAATTTTCTACTTGATTCCAACCAAACTCAAATCATATGGTATTGTATTGAGTTTGACCAAGTTTCAAATGTCACATAACAAGGATTGATTGGTTTGTGTGTGTGTGTGTGTTTTTTTTTTCTTCTTTTCTTTTTTTTTTTTATGCACGCTCAATCATATTTTAAGATAACAATTTGCCCAAATTAAACTTTTTTGATCGGTACACACTTTTTTTTCTTCACCTTTTGCAGACCGCTTGACAAGTCAATTGGCCTATGATCATTGCTCTCTTTGCTTTCCCACACTTGTTTGCACAAAATTTATATTTATTCCTCCTTCTCCATTGATGTGAGCAAGATTGAAATAGACTCCTGAGTCTTGTCAAACTTTACTTTAAATTAGAATCTAGCTTATTTTGTGGAATTTTCAACTTGATGCCAACCAAAACGAATCTAATTACATGAGTTTGGCCACGTTTAATCTTTGTATCCAATATGATTCTACTTTGACTATGATCGAGTTGAAAGTCATGCATAATATGTCATCTTATCTAGTGATCTTGTTTTATTCATCTTGGAAAAATCTCATACATATGAATGAGTTTCACCTGTCCGAAACCCTTTTTAAGTCCTTACGGTTGATTTTATATATTTTGTCATCTATTAAGTTGCCAGTATTTGTAAAAGCAGAAAAGTAATAAATAAATTTGCATTGTTCGCATTTTTTTCTTCTCCAGTTCAGAGTTTTCAAGGGAAAAAGGCCGTACCACTTTGATCTGGATTGAGTTTTGCAATGAACCTGCAAACTTCTTACTTGTAAGGAAACCCGAACAAAAATCGATTTATTGCAAGACAAACCCAACTCAGCCGGCTCGATTCGAGTTGGTCAGTTCCTGGTCCAAATGCCACACATAGGTCAAGCTATCATGTTCAATTTTGTCAGATGAACAAGGTTTATTCATATCTAATGTGTCCACTATAATAAAGGTTTAGTAATATTGTACGCTATATTCCCCAATTGATGCTCGCCCTCGTACAAAGGAGAGAAATTTATCAACTTTTAGCATTAAAAAAATCCATAAAATAAATTTGCCGACCATAGGCTTGAATATATTATAACTGATGGGAATACTCCTTTTTTTGGTTCAATGCCAATAGACCAACCAAATTATTGCACCACTTTGTGGTTCTCTTTTAGCTAATATAATAGGGTGTCAATGCAACTCTTAGTGAAGAAGAAAATCTAAAAACTTGTGGGCCAATCGGGTTCAGCTTGTCTTGGCAAGGCCCAAGGTTGGCTCAGTCCACTGCCACCCTTGAGTCTGCCGTCGAATACTTTTATTACATGCTTAATTATAGTTTAAGATAACAAAGTATACCAACTAAACATCTCCATCAATGTCTCTGAACTTGTGCCCAACTAGGCAAGAAGTCGACTGGCCAACAATCATATTTCTCTTGTTACGATTAGCTCAAGAAAAATCAGCCCTTTTTTCACAAAATATGAAATAAGAAACTGAAGATGAAAGAAACATAAAGAAAAAATGCAAGAACACGATATTTTCACCCGAAGGTAAGAGGTTCGGAACCGAAGTCCCTAATCCCCTTTTGAGCTTCCGTCACCGGAAGGAATCACTATATTAACCGGAATTCCAAATATTACAGTTCACAGTTCATGGAACTCAGGCGAAATCACATCAAGACTTCACATACAACAACCCACAGAGCATATATTGAACATCCACTCAAGGATCGAACCCTATGAAACCACTCAAGATCTACTATGGGGCTGTAATAACAATCAATCTACAGGGGCTTTGTTTGAGTGCAAAAAGAAACGAAGAACCAACAAAATGAGAGAGAACAGAGAGTTTGAGAGAGATGGAGCTGGTAAAAAATGAAAAGCCACTAATTCCATGCCCTAGAAGCCAACACAATATAGAAGCAGCTGAAAGATCTCTCATCAACGGTGAGAGAGGTGACACTTGGCAAGATCTGGTGCATCTGTTCTTATTAACAAAAACGGGTTTAATCAAAACACGTTTTTTTATCTCAATCCGGTCAGCCCAGTCAGCTCAGCTCAAGTGACAAATGATCCAGCCCACAAGCCCATCAGTTTTATTCCAGCTCAATAATCATTGTGCCACAATAATTTTTCTCTACATCTCTCTTTCTTTAATCGTGCGCGTACAAGTTATTCCTCCTCTATACATTGAAGTTAAGTAGAATAGGTAGGGGTGGACATTTTAATCAAGATCAAACCTTTCGATTTGGAACCGAACTGGAAATATTCTACGATTTTTTGTTAGAATAAAAACCGGTCGGCAATTTGGTTAAATGGTATCGACACAAGAACCAAAAATTATTGTTCAGTTTCGGATCTTGAAACACCCAAATTGGACCATCCGATACCTACGCTCTCAGAATAGAGAGAGACAGGTGAAACTTTATCATACTTGATAGTAGATTAGTGTTCAACTTGTTTGGTAGAACTTTCAACTCAACCCCAAATTCCCAACGAGGAAAATCACTAAGTTTGACGAAAGTTTAATTTTTTATCCAATATGGTCGTATTTGAGCAAAATTGACTATGATTTAGATAAAAAAAAAATATTCCACGTCAATCTAGCCATCTTTGTTTAGTTCAGCTTGGAAAAAATTTCATGCATGTGAATAAGTTTCAGATTTTTGAAACTCTTTTTCGATATTTGTGGTCAATTTTATATATCTTTCTCCATTAAAGTCCCTAGACTTTGTATTAATTTAAAAAGTAGATAAAAGTAAATAATGGATTCACATTGTTCCTAACCATATTGGAATTTTCAAGGGAAACAGCCACTCAACCATTAGTACATCTTCTGAAGAGGGTCGACCTACCATGTCCAATTTTTCAAATGAAAAAGCTTTATTAATATCTAATGCCACTACTCGATTGGAAGTCGAGTAATATTGTTCACTATGTTTTCCTAATGAACAATTTTGTTAGATCTTCATACGACCACTTTATGCACTATAATAGAATGTAGATTATCAACTCCTAGCATTCAACAGATCCATAAAAGAAAATTCGCCAACTGTAGGCTTACAAAATATATATCAAAACATCGAAATTTTATTTCAAAGCACGAAAATTCATTCATAAATTCATAGTTTAAAGTTTGGAGTTTTGTCTCCCCATTGTTGTATCAAACACCTTTAGGACAAATCTTGTTCTCGGAATATACAATTTGTTCTCTAAAATTGAACCAAGTGTAGCAATCAGCTTCCTTTTTACTTCAGTGTTGATGCCACCCATTGATACAATTTCTGCCAATGCTGCTGGTTCCTTATTCCCTCCAAATGTTAAGGTTACAGAACCTTTTAACAGAATCATCACAAACTACGAAAACAGAAACACACAATTAGTAGAAAAAGAAGTTCGAATCCTATAAAGAAAGGCTTGGATAATAAACATAAGGGCCAATAAACCGTAAAGGTAAAGTATAGAATTTGTTATACAAATTGTCATTGTCTTCTTGCCTAAAGCATATGACAGAATCACTATCAGCTCGACCCAGCTCTGATCTTAAGTTGCATAAAAAAGTGCAAAATTAAGATATCTGTATCACTTGCCCGACTAACTATATATAGAAGAACAAGTAATATAGACATTCGTTTTGCACTTTTACTACACAACTTTTATCCAACTTCAGTTCCTAAGTCAAGGATCGGGGTTTCAACGTCACAGAAATCTCGCACTGGTGTAAGCTGATATCGATGGTGACTTGCTCAAGGAAGCTTTTATACAAGAAGTAAAAGTAAAAGTCCTGTCAAATGGATCCTAAATAAAAGTTGGATTTGTGGGAAGTGTCAAAATTTTCTTAAGTGTGGTAGGTTATTCTTTACTGATTCTAAAACTTCTTTCTGCAGTCAACATTTCTTTAATGGTTATTGAAAAATTTAGATTAGAACTTGCTCTAACAATTTAAATCATTATACATATTTTGTTTTTCATAAAACCTGTCAAATTCAAGAAATAGCACTGTTCATATGATGTGATTCTCCTTCCAAATATCCCTCAAAAATAAAAGAAACCCCCCAAAGATCAATATAGTCCTTCCAAAAAGATACCTGAAATGCAACTATAAATCTAAATTTTTTAGTTCTATGTAACGATTAATTCATCTAAAAGATTAAGTCATTAGAGAGACAATAAATTAAGCTGATACATAAATTTCTCATAAATAGGAAGTTGAAAAAATTGAACTCACAGCGTCTGTTTTCCCTTAACACCATTTCATTTAGCTAAAACCAAGTCATCTTCAACACAACGGCCCAAATTGATTGGACTACTCACTCCTCTCTTTGGTTCAATGCCAACAGACTTGCTGACAAAAGTAAAACTGTCATTTGATAGATTCCTTAAATTAGAACTATTCCTCCAAATTATTGCACTAGCTTGTGGTTCTCGTATTGCCCTCCCTTTTAGCTAATATATGGTGTCAATGCAAATCTTAGCTAAAGGAGCAAAGATTTCAGTTCTTAGGTACGTTGAATATTAAAATAAAAAATAAAAAAAAAATTCCAAGGGCCCACAAACCTTTTATCTTTAATTTTACGTGAGAAAAGAAGAAACTTGTAGAGTTTAGATCATCTCCAACCCTGCATCAAAATTTGCACAATTTTGCACCTAATAGAAAATCATCTTCAACCCATTACACAAAAAGTTGCATAAAATGAATAGTGTTTAATAATTTTCTTTATTTTTTAATTCTTAACAATTTATTCATCTCAAAAATTATTTATTTGTTTATTCATTTTTTTACTACATAAATTTTAAAATAAATCATTACGTTTAGTTAACAAAAATACTGAATTCATTAATAAGTTAAGAAAATGTAGCACAATTATTAGGAACATACAAGAAGTAAGAAAATATTAAATCATAATACTAAAAAAGAGTGTAATACGTTTTGAATCACAATATCATGATAGTACAAAGTCGAAATAGTATTAACAATTAATTATCATTGATTACAGATGCATGTAATAATAACAACAACAACAACAATAACAATAACAATAACAATAACAATAATAATAAATTTAGAATTAAAATTTATTGTATAACAAATGGACAAATATACCCTTAAAAAATTGGTGCAAAGTGGAAGAAAAGGGTAAAAATGTATTTAACCATTTTGGTGGTGCAATACTATTCATTTGCACCATTTTGGTGCCAATAGGTTGGAGGAGATTTGCACCAAAAATTTGATGCAATTCGGTGAATTATGGCGCAATGGGGATGGAGTTGGAGATGCTCTTAGGGCGTTGCAAATAAGCATAGAGTTGTATATTACTATGAATCACCGAATTCTTAAACGGAAATGACAAACTTAAGTCAGTCTTTGCACGTGCACGTGGAATACATTTATCATAAAATGCCCAACATATGCACAATTTTTATCAAAGGGGGATGGGAAAACAGGAACCTTTATCCGGTGGTGATTGATCGAATGGTCCTCTCCCTTGTTTGTAAAGAACAATTGGTAAAAGGAATGAACTTTTGATAATTGGTTGATTTGAAATGTTGGTTGAAATAGTTAGAATAATGAATCAATGCGTCTGTTATCCCCTCTTACTTTCCCTTTTTATTGAATTGTCAATCCCTAGCTTAAAAGCTTCGAGGTTTCAAGAAACTGCTCGAATTCTAGCAAAAACAGCTCTTGGGATCGAGCAAAACACTTAAAACCACAGTATATAAACTGAGTTTAATCAAGATCAATACTTAAAACCACAGTATATAAACTGAGTTTAATCAAGATCAATTTCCTTCTCCCTCCCATTCCATCAAATCCACAGTACTTAATTGCTTAAAATCTTAGTTTTCAAGAAACTGCTACACTTTAAGCAAAAACAGCTCTTCAGTTGGAGCAAGATCCTTAAACCACGGTACATAAACTCAGATAAATTTCTTCTACCAGCACCATTGCCAAGGTTATATAACAAAAAATTCTTGTCTGAAATCTAACATGACCAAGCCCATAATTATTACAACATTAATCCCACAGTAATAGAGAGAAAGACAGCTTACTTTTTCAGGTTTTCCGATGATTTGAGAAACAGCCTTTGTGAGTTCGGAAAAGATTGAATCTGTGTTGATTCCATCGAGGTTAACGTTGGTTGAAATATCAAGACAAGGCATTTTCCCTCTTTTTTTTCTTGATTTCTCCTGTCTGTAGGGACTTTTGCTTATAATTTTTTTGTGGGCAACTCCTTTTTGTCCACTCACCTTCATATAATTGCTTATTTATGGACAAATTTTATGTCACAATCAAGAATGATGACTGCCCACCCCATTGAACAACCTAGTTTCAATTGAGGTTGCTCTTCTTTTATTTTACCTGGTTTTGTGAAAAAAGATTTTTTTCGATGGGTTTTGAGCATTTTTCCTAAATAACTCCAACACAACGAGACGTGTTCATATTGTGCATATATTTTTACCAATACGAAGAAAATTAAGTTAGCCTCAATTTGAAGTGAAGTTACTTCACTTTTTGGTCGGTTGTCGACAAGTAGGAATTCTAACTCTCAATATGGTATCGAGTTGAATTATCATACATACTAGGAAGATTCAAAGTGGCAAAACATGTTTCTCACGAATTTAATAGGACTTTTAAAGAATTATCAGTACAATATAAGTCATTATAGACTTAATTAACTCGAATCTTTGTAGCAGAAAAAGATTATGTAACCGACTTCATATTGATTTACAATATGATTTTATCTGTCGCAACTTATTAATATTGCATTACTTGTAAATAAGCATATTTTGAATGTATATTTTGTGTTCCTATTACACTCTTAGCCTCTAAAGGATACCTCATTCATTTCGTAGAGGCTAGAACCTTGAATTCTAAGTTCAAAATATATATGATGCGAAGTGCTTACAAAGTTAAAGACATTTGGCCCCGGGGGGCGGGGGTTGCAAAACTGGGGTGGGGGGTCCCCAACTACTTGTGTTCTCACTCAATAACTTTACAACTTGTTGGTTGCATTTATGTAGTTCTTGTCCATACATGATGTTGAAAGCTAGCAATTTCGACAAAAATGTTCAGACAACTTTAGTGTCTGTTTGATACCCATTAATTTATTTTATGATTCGCTAAAGATTATTTTCAACTAAATATTTCACTGTATCAAAAAAAATTTCCTACTTTTTATCTACTCATTCTCCAAAAAATCACTATTCAAAACTTTTTTTTTTCCCCAACAATAATAGTTGTCAAACAAGCTCTGATATACCCCCAAGTTGATGATAATGTAGGCAAATCAAGATTGGATTTTTTGATTGTCACTTTCAATTGTTGGACCGAAACAAATAAATTATTTGAAAGGAGGTTTTGTATTGAAATGTTCGTGAATAAAAGTTGTGTTATTCGACATACGTAAATTGTGTCATAAACGTGTCTAGTTCCAATATTGAAGAGTAATGTACAAGATAGCCCAAAAATAAAAAATAAATAAAAATCAACTTTTCCTATATATTATGTTTAGTCCAATACAGCAAAGATATGATAAAGAAGCACTATATTTGTTACACTAAGTGATTGCTCCACTTTATTTCATGTAAAATAATATATCCTCTTGTCCACTTTTTGGCTTGATGCGAGCAATTCGTTACACTTTTCTTCAAATTTAATATAGTACATACAAATATTTAGCATATAAAAATTAAATATGTGAGAAACTGCTAATAAATCAAACCATATAAAATATTTGATAAATTTTTAATTAGCTTATCAAATTGTTATAAAACGTGTATTTCTGTCTATTTTTTAATTATTTATCAATTGTTATATTTGCAAAACATATAAACTTTGTATAGAAATAATTAATTTTTTTAATTTTTCAAATATTCTAGCAATATTTATAATGATCTTATGTAACTCAAAAGTATACAGATCTCTATTCTAAAAAATAAGAAAGAAAGAAATGATTATTGTGTTCCACTATGGTATTTGTAATTGACCTTCCATGTTATTGGACTTAAATATTATTTAATTAACCGTATCTCTTTTATTTAAACACATAGTCCGTTAAATCTGTATCTCTCTTATTCAAATAACTTTTAGTTAAAAAGGTCATTCAATTGTGTGTTCCACTTGCATAATAAATGCCCTCTTATCTACTGTCAGCACTAAATTACTTCCTCCGTTTCATTTATGTAGATTAGTTTTATTTTTCACAGGAATTAAAAAATCTTATTTAATGTTTTTTAAAGTGATTTATGCCAAAAACATTTCTAGTTTACCTATATTTATATTTGTACAGATTAAATGAGAAAAATTAGTTATAATCAGATAAATTAAATATGAGTATATTAGTAAATGAACAAAATAAAACATTTAAATATGAGTATATTAGTAAACGAACAAAATAAAACATTCTCAATAAAGAAATATGACTATATATTTGGAATAAGAAAATAAGAAAAATCAACTTATATAAACGGGAAGAAGAGAGTAATTTATCGTGAATAGTAATACAGCCACCTAAGTTTACTCTACCATTCTTTACCTTAATTATGATAATCTTATCGACTCCCGAGGCATAGCTTAGTGGTGCAAAGGACAGGAGTGAAGTTATCTCACGCCTTGCTGACAGTCGCAGTGTGAGGATTCAATTCCTGAAACATGGAATTGGACTCCTTGTAGACGCAGTGTACAGACAGCTCTTGTTCCTTGATCTGTTGGAGCACATTCCGCGATTTACCTCCCTCACCAAGCTCTAAGGGCGGGACGGTGGGAACCCTCAAGGTTGGGGTTCAACCTTTTTTTTTTTATGATAATCTTATTAATTTTTTCACATAAACAATAATAAATTACCTAGCCTAGCAACTGTATTTGTGGCATTAACTCATAATAACTATAATAATTTTTCTTGAAATCTGAGAGAGGGGACCGGGCTAAAAGAGTCGCAAATCGAGGAGACCAATGAAGAAAAAAGAGAGATGAAAACAGGAAAGTCCACTTGTCGTTGTCCATTTGCAATCAAACAAACGTTTCATCGTAAGGGGGGAAAAATAATAAAATAAAAAAATAAAAAATAAAAGAGGGGTGCCCATCAATTATCAAAACATTGGAATAGCCCAAAATTTGTCACTAATTTTATAAGAGTCTAATCAATAGCCAGATCCATTAAAAACAGAAGTTCCCAAGAAACACATTGCTTATCTCTGGTGTCCATTGCACTGTACAATAGTATTTAATCTCTATAAACCCATCCCAGAGCTTTCCAAAACAATGGATAATAAGGAAACTTGCTTCAAAATTCTCTCGTTTTATCAATTTCGACCCACTTTTAACTCTCTCCCAAGACAATAGCCGAGGCGAAGCACCTTTTACCAACGGCCTTCAAGTTTGTTTCTTGCCAACCTCGGCCCTCGTATCTTTCAATCTGTCGTTGCATTTCTAGTGTCAGCTAAATGAATACGTGTTGTGTAAAGAAAGAAAATTCATGAATGTGAAAAAAGGCCAAAAATGTACGAACATTGTCCACTGTGCCATTAGCAGTATCAGCGCCACCAATTACATATATGGATTCGTTTAGAATGGCAGTAGCTGAGTATCCCCTGGCTCGGTTAAGAGGCTCATCTGTCATCCACTTTCCAAGTCGGGGGTCGTATATTTCCATGCTGCGCACCATCTCAATTCCATCATAGCCACCAATGGCGTACCTGAAGGGCAATAATCCATCTTAAGTAAAGTATTCGCTTATAAGCACTTAAAAGCACTACCAAACAAACATTTAATGAGAGTCACTGCAAGTTTTCGAGACAATTGTAAGTCAATTACCTTGTTAATCTAAAACTTGGGAAGAATCTTAAAGTCATACTTACTTTCTATGAAATACAGATTACCAAAGAAATCTATAAAAAGGATCCTCCAACAACCCAATGGCACATCCGGATGGAGTGAAAAAAGACATACACGCTCTTAATATCTCGAGACTAAATAGTGAAAACAGACAAAGAACTTACAACTTCTCATTCATGACAACCAATGAATGACAACCTCTTGGTGTTTCCATACTTGCAATCCTAGTCCACGAGTGTTCTCTTGGGTCAAATCTTTCAGCAGACCTGACACGGGTGGTAGATAATCTTGGAGAAGCTACTTTCATAAAGTTTGTAATAATTTAAAGTTAATCGAAATCTCGAAAGCAATAAAGCAAGGCACACATAGAAACAGAAACTTATAGTTGTTCCCTCTCAAAGTAAGAGCCACATTCACTTGCTGCTACAGAAATTCCACTTTAATCTAAAGGTTTAATAATGGGGATTTGAGCCTGTAAGTGTATATTACGTTCTACATAAAATAGGGCTCTGCTAATATCCTTTGTATGGTAGAAACATTATGGTAACCTGATAGAAATATGAATGTTCATATGCTATAATAGTAACTTTGAAAAATAAAAATAATGATCCCCATCTGAATTTGTCAAGATCATGTCATCTTTCCAGAGCAACTAAGGCTCCATTGCAACCCTCACTTTCTGTTGCTTGCACCTTATAGTTAACAGAAAGAAGGAAATATAAAATACAGTGACTTCAAAACTTACTTCAAATATTCTTTACCATCATATCCACCAACAGCATAGATTGCACCATTGTACTCTGATGCAGCAAGAGAAAAACGCTGAAAAAGAAAACAGTCATCCGAGGGCACATCAAACAACAATGATTTAGACTTCAAGAGACAGCAAATAATGACGGATAAAATCTACTAAACACATTTAAAAAGAGAGAGAGAGAGAGAGAGAGAACATACAGACAATATTTTACATGTTTGCAAAATATTTCCATCATATCGCTTGTGATGGATATCAGCATTGGTAATAAGACTCGTAACATCACTTTCTCTGGATCGAAATACTTTATAATGTTTAGGACTCTTATCACTCAGAATTTATTTCTTAACCATACATGTTGATGTTACCAATCAAACCAAACATAAAATGTCGAAACTTCAACACAATTTTCAAGTATCATGATAAGTGTATAATATACATTTATTCGGAGCCTAAAATAGCAATATTTGATAGTTCTTTTGACAAATATATCCGAAATTATTGTATTTTATGTTATATAGGTAAAACTCAATTATTGAACGAGAAATTGAAAGGAGAAATTGGTGAAAAAAGGTGAAATCCAAAGTATGGGGACTAAATTTCAACATTTCAATAGTTGATTCAGACGATGAAACGAAGATTGAAGATGTTATAAGTTTAATTGGACACAATTAAAGTTAAAGGACCGAAATTGCAAGAGAAAATGACTTAAAAGAATCAATAATCGAATTCAGGG